AACTTTAAAATATCAACTTTTAAATTGAAAAAACTAAAAAAAAAATTATGTGAAAAAAAAACGACAAATATTTTTTTTTTGAAAAAATTGAATTATATTTTTGTACAAAATTGAAAATTTTGTGTCTATAAAGGAGCATGATGATGAATATTGACGTGTAAAATTGCGACAAATATTTTTTTTTTGAAAAAATTGAATTATATTTTTGTACAAAATTGAAAATTTTGTGTCTATAAAGGAGCATGATGATGGAATATTGACGTGTAAAATTACAAAAAAAAAAAATTAAAAATGAAAAAACTTATAATGTTGTCTTTTTTAAAACTGAAAAAAACTAATAGGTGTCGTTTGGTAACACTTACATTTTCTATTTTCTATTTATATTTACAAAAATTAAAAAAGTTTAAATAAAAACTTGTTTGGTAAAATTTTTGATTTATAAATCAGTGATCCCAGTTTATAAATTTGGCCAAAAAATGAAAACATAAAAAATGTGTTTCCATTTTGAGTTTTGAGTTTTTTTTTTTTTACCACCCAATACTAGCCACCACCCGCCACCATTTTCCATCACCGTCTTCCACCACCACCACCCATCACCCACCCCCCACCACCATCACCACCTGCCACCACCACTCACCACCCACCTGCCACCACCAGCTACCACCCACCTACCACCACCCACCCCTCGCCACCCACCCCTCGCCACTACTACCACCACCACCCACCCACCAGCCACCTGCCATCCACCCGCACCACTTTCCATCACCACCCACCACCCTTCAGTAGTAGTAACTACCTTTGGCCACCATATTTTCTTATAAGTCACCTTCAACTGCCACCTTAAATGGTTGACCAGTCACCATCTTCGACCATCGACAATCTCTTTCCGCCACCACTTCTCGTCACCAATAACCACCTATGACCACTGTCAATTGCCTCTCATTGGTAGCAACCACCTTTAACTACTACCTCCTATGGCTAGTATCCAACTCCCGTTGTCCCTCATTTTCACTTGTTTTTCAAATAAAATTTGAAGATATATGTATACTAAACATGTTTATTGTTTTCTGTAAACTAAAATACAATAAATTGCAAACACACCAAACAGCACCTAACCATTTGGTCAATCCAACATTGTTTTCTTTTTTTCTCAACTCTTTCAATGTATTCCAACCACCAAATCATATATTGAAATGATATTAGTGTTTAATAGTTGTTTTAACTTTAAAATGAAACACATCAAATAATTTTATACATTTTCATAAAATATTATATCCAAAAAATATTAAAGTTACATAAACGGCATATATTAGCTTAGGTCTTTTTTACAGAATATTAGCTAAATCTGGGTACTGCCAAATACAAACCTTATCTCTACACCCATATATATGGAAAAAAAAAAAAAAAGTATAAGACTTTCTTGAGTGCATTTAAAACCTTAAAAAATAATAATAAAATAATATAAAAACAAGGACAATAATGCCTTGGATGGTGGGATATATTCCTTCAATAATATAAAATCTACTCTTTATTCCATTCACACCGACTCTAAGCTAAAGAAAAAAGATGTTAGACGACTCAAAATCAACATGTGTTTCCACCACCGTCTTTCGCCGCCACTTGCCACCACTTGTCATTTCTCACTCTTTTTTATATTTTTAAATTTTTTTAAACATTTTGTCAATTACCAAACGCGTTTGTAGCTTATGTTTTTCTAAAAATAAACAAAAACCAGTTTATAAATTTTTTGTAAATATAAACTGAAAATGTAAACTTTACCAAACACACCCATAATATTCTTAATTTTATTGGATAGTTGAATCAAACCAGTATGTAGAAAGACAAAAACCTTTAATCTCATGCTCTCTTTTTTTTTAATCAATTAGTGAAACAATTATCTGAAACATTACTGTTCAAAATTGATAATGTTCTCAATTCTAAAAATTGGAAAAAACTGATAATATTATCAGTTTATTAAATAGGACTTATTAGTTCAAAAAATCTTAAATAGGACCTAAGCTACTATAACATTTATAAATAAGACTTTTAAATAATTAACTCATTAATAAATAATTTGTATTTTATAATATCACGTAATATTTTTTATCAATAAAATCACTCAAAATATGATGGGTTGACCTTCAATCCTATCTCACTTTCGCAACCAAGTAGGCAATATAAATAAAATTCATATAAAAAATTTGATAAAAATGATGTGATAATGTCATTATTGTAAATAAATTTATCTTTAATGATCTTTTATTTTGAAGTGCAAAGCTCATAATGAGCCACATTATTATGTATGAATTTTTTATTTGTATAACAGTACTTATTATAAAAATTAAAGTGAAATTTTAATGAACGTGTACAAATGCTAATAAGATAAAAAAATAAAAAATAAAAATAAAAATTTATCACCTTTGATATACCTAATAAGTTCCCTCAATTTTATTAATATCAAAAGAATCAAATTATGGCATTTAAGAAAATAGGTGTAATTAATGAAAAAAAAAAGGCTCTTTACTAAATTTAATATTTGATCATCTTAATTTTTTAATGAATATTCTACTAAATAAATTTTAAAAAGTGAATGATTCAAATGATTGAAATCGATTTCAAAATAGACGTATCAAGTCCAAATACTCTCTCAAATTGAGATGATCAACTTAAAAGAAACCTAACCCTTTTTAGTAGCATGTGATTGCTAATTAATTTGACCCACTAGTTTGCTAATTGTAGACAATATGTGTGAGACTTTTGTAGTTGCTTATGATTTACTTGCTTTAGGCACAGCTTCTGCCGAAGAGAAAAACTCGTTACTAGCTTGCTCGGACTTGTCGTTTAGCTTCATCCAAGGGGAGAGCTACTTGAAACCACAGTCCGGGGACGAGTAACAATCATACTCTGAGAAACGCCCAGCTAGGCCATTCCTTGTTCAATCAGTAAACTGGGCATTGAAAGAGGGAGAGCACCCCTTCTAGTTTGAAGATCCGAGGCCTAGAGAACCACGACCACACTGTTTTCTTTGGATGATCATGATCTTCTCTGTTTATAATAGAAAATTTCATTATAATATTTAAAGGTAGATATAATATATATTTTTTAATTTAAAATAATTATAAATTTATATTTTTATTTCATAACCATTAGATATGTAGTCGGAAGTAAGGGTGTACATAGTGTGATTTCAATTTGTTAGTTGATTGAACAATAAACAAGTATCAAATATTTACATAATATATAATACAAATTTGTATAATATTTATATATATATATATATATATATCACTAACTAATTTTACATAATATCATATTTATAACACTAATTTGTAACAAATTTTATATCTTAAATCTCTCCTTTTATTTTGATATTTTATTAAAGGAAAATATATATATATATTAAATATAGTGAAGCCAGCTGATTTCAAATATGAATTATAAATTTTAAATCGTTTATCATATTAATTCATAATTAGCAATTGAATCAGTGTAAATTAGATGGCTTTAACGAATTAGACCGTATTTTGCAGTGAAAAAGGATCAAAACCCATCCTTGGATAAGCAATTTTGTAAACACTCTTCCTGGCAAGTCTGGATCTGAGTTTTGAGGGGTTGCAGTGCAACTAGAAATCGAACCCATAAACCCAATCAATGGATGAAAGCTCACCCCCTCCACACATACTCATCTTCCCATTCCCCTTGCCCCTAACTTTGAGCATAAACTTCTAATTCTGATGGAGTTATTATTATAATTATTTTTTCACAATTTTTGTTGACGTAGATGATGATTTGGATGCCACATTTAAGGGGAAATTATTAAATATTCCCGGAATATCACGTACCTGTGCTCCTTAACCAATTATCATTCAATATGTTTCTCATGTTCCCTAATCACCAAACACAATATCCCACCTACTCACTTTCTCTATCAATCATAATATTATGGAATATCACATCTTCGTACTCCCAGATTACTGAATAATTACCCTCATTTAAGGGTGTTCCTGGCATGGAAAGCATTCTTTGCCGCCGTGATCTACCGAGCTTCTGTTGTTCTAGAGACCTGGATGACCCTAGCATGAAACTCATTGTGAAGGAAGTCGAACAAATTCCACGAGGCTTGGGGCTCATACTTAACACGTTTGAAAATCTAGAAGAACCCATACTCTCTCACATACGATCTCTTTGTCCAAATCTCTATCCCATCGGTCCACTCCACGCCCACCTGAAGACAAGACTCGGGGCAGCAGAACCGGAACCACGACTGCCACTGGCCTCCTCAAACAGCCTCCCAAATCTGTGATCTACGTTAGCGTTGGAAGCCTTGCCATGATGACTAGTGAGATGGAGTTTTGGCACGGTTTGGTAAATAGCGGACAGCGATTCTTGTGGGTCAGACGATCGAATTTCATACCCGACAGAGAATGGGAGGGTCAGATTCCGAGGGAGGTCTTGGAGGCTACGTCGAGAGATGGTGGTTGGTGAGTTGGTCCCTGCAGGAGGAGGTCTTGGCTCACCCTGCTGTTGGTGGATTTTTTACTCATAGTGGATGGAACTCGACTTTCGAGAGTATGGTGGAAGGTGTGCCAATGGTTTGCTTTGCTGGCCTTACTTTGTGGACTAGCAAGTGAATAGTAGGTTTGTGAGTGAGGTGTGGAAGCTTGGGGTCGACATGAAAGATACTTGTGATCGAGCTGTGATTGAGAGGATGATCAAGAATGAAACCCTTGGAATTCCTCAAAAATTGTTTTGGTGTAAATTTGTGCCACTTGCTTTAACATCAAAGTCGGAATTGAAATCCTTGGCAATTTTTGGGACAAATTATACTCGGCTTCTAATTCTTTATATCTCTTGTCATAGAGCATCCTCTCAAAATGCATAAAAAATTCCATCAAGTTATGATCACAATTGAGATAATCCTTCAAAAATGCATTGAAGGATTCACTTAGTTGAGTAGTACTCATTCTAGCTGCCTAAGAATTCATTACATATGGCCATTCCTATTTCTCCTTCACACCAAAAGTTTGCTCCAACCAATGATTGTTGCGTGCATCATACCTATCAAGCATTTGTTCCCATTGTATTCTAAATTCTTCTTCATCATCAATTTCATGCATAAATTTAGAAAACACACCCTTCACCCCTACGACTTCAAAAAGAGAACTTACATGCTTCACCGCATTTTGCATCAAATGCCATGTGCAAAGTGGATGGTTTTTAGTAGGCATGATAATTGGAATGGCCTTAGCCATCGCAGCATCTTGATCTGTGAAAATAGTTTTCGGAGCTTTGTTTAACATTTCCTCCAAAAAAATCTGAAACAACCATGTAAATGATTCGGCAGTCTCATCATACATCAATGCTACACTGAATATAACTGTTTCTCGATGATGATTAAATCCAACAAAGGTTCCAAAAGGTCTATGCTCGTTATTTAATTTGTAAGTAGTGTCAAAGGTCACTACATCACCAAATTGAGTATAGTCCATTATCATTTGAGCATCGGCACAAAATATATTACTTATCTGCTCTTCACAATCTAATTGGACTGCATAATAAAAGGATGGATTTTTCACAGTTTTCTTACAAAAGTATTGCAACACACTACCCGCTTCTCCATATTTCAAATCCTTTTGTCTCTTCGATCTCAAGTAATTTTTTGGTCCAATTTTGTGAAGCCAAGTGTTGCTCTTCCACCAGATTCCCTACCAAATAGCTCATAAGCAGACCTAAGAGGAATTCTAGAGTCTGAAGCCAATTCTACTTCAATTGCTTGGGTGGTAGATATTTTTCTTAGGGATGGCAACATATGAATGTACTCTTGATGCACAAGGTCATGATTATGGTGTTCAACAAAATCAATTGCAATATATTTTCCTAAATTTCTATCTAATTTGATACTCAATCGGGCACCTCAACCACATCTCACCTCTTGTCTCGGAAATTTTGCTAGTGGATCTCGCTTGTCAAAACCCTGAGTTCCCTCTTTGTAACATACAAAAGTCCGTGAAGTTATTTCCTTAGTTTGTTTGTTCTTGTGTGCATACGACTTCCTAATTCTAAAACCAACCTTCCCGTCATAGTTATTGTAAAAGTCATACGTAGCTTGTTCAGAGTCAAATGACATGTCCAATTTCGGCTTCCAACCACAACTACCCAACTCATCAACAACATTATTTTCTTCCATTACCTACAATTTAGTACCATACAACTCTAATAAACAGATTCAAAAAAAGAAATCTAATTGAAAACTCTAGTTGAAAAATCAATTAACAGATTCAAAAAAATCTAATAGTACCATATATACATATTCAATTTAGTACCATACAACTCTAGTTGAAAAATCTAATAAAAAAAAATCAACATGAACAGATTCAAAGAAAAAATCTAAAATCTAACTCTACCATACAAATTTAATTTAGTACCATACAACTCTAGTTGAAAAATCTAATAAAAAACTATCATAAACAGATTCAAAAAAAAAATCTATTTGAAAACTCTAGTTGAAAAATCAATTAACATATTCAAGAAAATCTAATAATACCATACAGATTCAATTTAGTACCATACAACTCTAGTTGAAAAATCTAATAAAAAACTATCATGAACAGATTCAAAAAAAAAAAATCTAATTGAAAACTCTAGTTGAAAAATCAATTAACAGATTCAAAAAAATCTAATAGTACCATATATACATATTCAATTTAGTACCATACAACTCTAGTTAAAAAATTTAATAAAAAAAAATCAACTCTATCATGAACAGATTCAAAAACTTTAGTTCAAATCACATAAACAGATTCAAAAACTCTAGTTGAAATAAAAACTCTAGTTGAAATCAATTAACAAACCCAGATTCATAAACTCTAGTTCAAATCTGCTAACGAGTTCAAACATTAATATGCCTCTGTTTATTGGCCTTTATTGCCTACTTCAAAATCTACTTCAAACCAGAATGAATGAACAATATTTTCCCTTTATTGCCTCTGTTTTCTGAACTATATTTTCCTTTTAAATCTGCTAACTATGGTGCATTAATATACATGGTCAGATTCCTAAAATCAACTCTATCATCCTCATAAGCATTATCATCTCTAGGACCACCCACAACAGCCTCATCGTTTCCTTGCAGATATGACATTGTAAGTAATATATGAAGTAATATAGCTTACTTTCTCATGGTCGCAATCTCGCATTGCTGTTGCGTCGCGTCCCTCCGCTATCCTCCATCCTTTGCCGTTGTCGTCTCCTCCTTCCGCCATCCTTCCTTCTTCATCGTCGCTGTCACATTCCTCCACCATCTCTCTCAGTTCGTTTCTCTATGCTTCTCTCTCTTTTTCTTTGTCTACTGTCTCTCTCTCTTTCTCTCTCTCTTATCTCTGTCTTGTTGATGTTCTTAGGGCTAAACAGATTGAGAACATATCAGACTAGAGGAAGAAGCGGGAAAATCAAATTTTGGGGAAGAAAAAAAAAAAATTCACTAACCAAAACGACGTTGTTTTGGCCAAAACGACAAAACGACGTCGTTTTGGTGAGGGCGGCAGGAAGGGCCACAAGAAAAGGCAACTAATGATCTGCACTCATCTCACAATTTACTAAAATTCAATTTACCAAAATGTATTTGAATAGTTTGTTCGGTTTTCGTACAAATTCCAGTGGGTTCAATAATTGCTAATTGCCAATAGTTAGGCCTTGTTTGGCATAAACTAAAAAATTCAAAGAGTCACTATCCTATTTAAGTCACATCATGCTATTTAAGTCACATCACCTCTGTATCACATCACTTTAAACTCAACTCATACCTAACCTATATTTCATAAAAAGTCAAAAAGTACATTTATTTAGATCATCCTAAACAATTCCTAATTCAATAGTTAAAGCTGATTAAATCAACTTGGTTTTTGATTAGGATTCTATCTAGTCTATTAAAGGGTTATTTTAAAAAGTTAGTTAAAAGTTAATTTTTTTATTTTTAATTTTTTTTTAAAAATGTATAAAAAGTGGAGAGATGATTTGACTTAAAATAAGTTAAAAATTGAAAGATGGCGTTTAACTATAGGGAAATTTGGTCAAAACCTCATCATAATAAAATTTTAATATGTCAAGGTCTAATGAACATCACTATTATCAAAATATTAAATTTTAAAATAATATAATTTTTTATTTAGATGTCGGTTTTTAATAAAATTAATATTTTTATAATTCTCTCATCAAGATCTATTAAATAAGATCTATGTTGACTATGAATTTTTTTAAAAAAAAATTTATTACTATTGAAATTGATGTAAACAGTAACATGTTACTCTATTTGATAGTAGCATGTTACTTTGTTTCACAGTAACATGTTATTTTGACAATATTGTTTAAGAAAGAAAAACTCTAACAATATTATTTAAGAAAAAAAAGGAAAAAAAAATATTTTACTTCATCCTTACTCAATTATGTATTTTCTCCTTAAGGGATTTATGAAGAAAAATAAATTGAACTATTCTTTTCACCAAATAAGGGTCCAATGAAAGGATTTTGACTAAATTTCCTTCAACTATATTCCTAAAAGAGGCCAAAATATATTGAATCACACATTTCTATTTATGGAATGTTATTAGGCAGATACATTTCTTTTTTCTTTTTAGATGGGTACATAACCAATATGATATATTCATGGAATCAGAATAAATTAAAAGATGACTTTTAACCATATTTTTAAAAGAAACCAATATATATTGAATCAAACATTTTTATTTACGGAATGCTCTTTGGCGAATACATTTCTTTTTTCTTCTAGAAGGTTACATAACCAATATGATATATTCATTTTTTTTGGTTACATCGATATGAATATGATTTGGATTTGGTTTTGGACTAAACAAATTTAGCAATATTTTTTTGATAACATAATTTTGGTTTTGGGCTTGGCATCAACAACATTGGGCCTAATCAAAACTTGAGATCTTACTAATAGGCTAAAAGCCTTAAACTAGGAGGTTCAAGAAGATAATCGAATCTTGTAGAATTCTCTGTTTCCTTCCTGACCCATCTACCAAGCGTGCACTCTCTCTCTCTCTCTCTATATGTAACAGCTCTTTGGCTTTCATTGCATCATTGAAAACTGCTCAAAGCTTTGATATACCTCTCAGATTCATCACTTTCCAGTTTCTCAAACTATAAGAAAATTTAGAAAATGGCGATGATTCCAAGCATCTTCGGCGGCCGTCGAAGCAATGTCTTCGATCCATTCTCTCTCGACATCTGGGATCCCTTTGAGGGCTTTCCCTTCAACAACGCCCTCGCCAACATCCCCAACTCCGCCCGCGAGACCTCCGCCTTTGCCAACACTCGCATTGACTGGAAAGAGACTCCAGAGGCTCACATCTTCAAAGCCGATCTTCCAGGGCTGAAGAAGGAAGAAGTGAAGGTGGAAGTTGAAGAAGAAAGAGTTTTGCAGATCAGCGGAGAGAGGAGCAAAGAGCATGAGGAGAAGAACGACAAGTGGCACCGCGTTGAGCGTAGCAGCGGCAAGTTCCTCCGCCGCTTCAGGTTGCCGGAAAATGCGAAGGTCGATCAGGTCAAGGCTGCGATGGAGAACGGTGTTCTGACTGTGACTGTGCCCAAAGAAGAAGTGAAAAAGCCTGAGGTTAAGTCCATTGAGATCTCTACTTGAATTGCGCTGCTGAGCTTTGGAGTGTTAGTGTTTGAGTGTTTGAATTATATGATAAATAAATGCTTGTTGTTTTGTTTGAAGTAAAGAGGAAGTGTTATGCAATGGCTACTTGAGAGCCTGTTTATGTATGGTGTTGAACCAGTACCAGGTTATTTGCTATGTTTTGTGTGATATAAAAATGGAAGAAATATTGTTCTGATGATTTGATGTATTGAATTTACTTTTTAGGATTATTTCATCAGAAAAAAAAAATTTCATTCCAAACAATCCCTTAACATGATTTGTAAAATAAGAAGCCTTCCTAGGCTCCTTGTCACGCCCGAAACCCGCCCCTAAAAGTTTGGGCATGACCTGCCCCTAAAAGTTTGGGCATGACCTATTCAGAAACGAACATGTAACCTGGTAACATAACATACGGGGCCTTATCGGAAGCACGAAAAAAAATGAAAATAATGAAACAAATAAACTCCATTGAGCTACTTCTACATGCCAGGATCTCATTCATCACATGCATTATAGTGGATAGATAAAGTTCCAACTATAACCTGGAGCATATACATACACATTTACAATGCCATCCCCATGATTGGGCGTATACAAAAAAAAAACGAACATGAAAGTATATACAACAACCTTAGAGGGTCACCCATAAGCAAGTCAACATCTTAACAACTTGACAAAATAAATGGCTTATACAGTGCCTGGACATACGAAGGTTGACAAAAGAAAGCGGACGTCTTGGCTAGGACTGACCACCTGGTTGCTGACCTACAGAAACAGACATAATAGAGAGTGAGCCGGGCTCAGTGAATAGTAATACATAAATAAAATGATGCTTAACTTGAAACATAATACATGTCAATGTAATAGTCTGATTCTGTGCTAAGTACATACGGCCTTAGGCCCAATCTTGCAACATAAACTTGATGGCTATAAGCCCTTGAAATGTGGTGGCACGAGGCCCTTGAAACATTGGCATAAAGCCCTTGAAACTTGTTTGACCTTATAGTATATTCAAACTTATAACATATACTTGAAACATACCTCAGCATACTTGAACTTGTAACATACTGGAAACATGCCTGAAACATACTTGAACATCATTCATTAATTCAAACAGAACATATCATAACTGGAGCGTTTCTTGTTGTATCATGTCATTATCATACGCTTAACAATAAGAGACTAATTCACATTCTCATAAGAGTGTCAAAAATTCAAACTCAAATTTGGGACTTTTTATCTAATCTTGTCTATATATCTTGTTAATGCTTCGATCAAGGTTCCAAACATCATCCAAAGGTCCTTTTGGCCTTTGGCCTCATAGCTTCATAATTTCACAAATGGCCCCTGGCCACATAAATTCACAAGTCGGCCCTTGGCCTCATAAATTCACAAGTTCACAAGTTTGGCCCTTGGCCTCATAGCTTTATAAGTCACAAGTCGGCCCTTGGCCACATAGGTTTGATCTTCACAAAAGGCCCTTGGCCACATAGATTCATAATTCACAAATGGCCCCTGGCCACATAAATTCACAAGTCGGCCCTTGGCCTCATAAATTCACATATACATAAATTAGCTTTTGGGTTTCATAGGTTCACAATTCGGCTCTTGGCTTCATAGTTTCACAATTCACAATTCGGAAATTCATACTTCACAAATGGCCCTCGGCCACATCGTTTCATATTTCACAAGTTGGTGATCCATACTTCACAAATTCAATATGCATATTTCACAAATCCTTTTTGATGTTTCCATAATTTCACAATATTTACGTAGCATACATAACATACATGTCAACATAATTCTTATGACGAAGATCATAACGTCGATAACAATAATCATTAATGGTTAGAGATACATCGAAGTACTACTACTCACAGTGCTACAGCGGAGTGCTTGGCCCTCCTGAAGTATGCCCTGTACACATATATAACTTAGTCATTAGTTCTCTTTCCTTCCTTTATTATTCTTCACAAGCCTACCATTATCCATCCATTATACCACAATTTCCTCCATCTCAATATATCTATATATAGAAATAGAAGATTACTATTCTTGCAGACACAATATGAAATTTATAATCAATCACTTCGATTTCAAGATAGGAAGGAATTGTATGGACATCTTCCACATTTTTCCAAAAATAAATCATTCTCTTGGTTGTAATAACTAAGCAAGCCCACAAGTATTTAGCAAGATAATTTGGGATTAACCCATTTTGGAAAGCTCCACATTTTAGGTCACAAAAATTAAAGTCAACATAGTCAATACCATCTCACATAATCAATACAATTCAACATAAGCAACATGATTCAACTCAACATCATTAAATATAATTCAAGAGGAATTCTTAAATTCCATTTCAACATTCCAAAACCAAGTTCATATCATTCATACTATTAATAGATTATTTCCCCAATTTTCCCTTCACATGCTAGCATGAATTCCAATATTCATAACAAAGTTCATTCGCAAATTTTAAACATAATTTTCAAACATTTCCAAATTCTAATTAAACTTGAACACATATAATTCAATACCTCAATTTCATTATTCTACTTTCAATTTGGGCCAAATCATTGGGTATCATCATTAATTAACCTAGGGTTTCAAGAAAAATGAGGATTTTTAACAAAAATTCACACTTCTCAAATTACCACTTTTAATTCCAATTTTCCCAATGATTCTACATGTAGGATTCACAATTCATCATTTTAACCCATTAATTAACTCCCAACATCTTCAAACCATAAAACCCCAAATCTCTACATGCTCTAAACATGAAAATTTTGTATTTAGATAATAAAATGTCACAAACCTATCTATGGATATAAGTATTGAAGAGTATTCAAACCATTACCTCAATAATCAAGCAAAGAAGTGAGCTTGAGAAGAAGCCTTCACAAATCCAAGTTCTAATCGGGTAAAAACATTGATCCTCCCTTGTTCTCCATCCTTGATGCCAAAAACCATGGTGGATCATGAGCAAAGTAAAGGAATTCAAGGATTTGGGGCTACATTGATATTTGATACAGAGTGTTTGATATAGGTTGAGTATCCGACATAACTTCAATAGTAAATTCAATCTCTCAATCAATCAATTCCCGTAGCAATTCTTCCGGAAAGACATTTGAAAATTCACTAACTACTAGATAGTATCTAAAGTACCATTTGTAGATTAAACACTCAAAATACTTCATAGATAACCCCAACATCCCTTTTTATGTAGTTTACATGTTTTCATTGCCGAAATTAAATAAGGTGGAGGTACTACACCATTACCCTCAAACTAAAACTCATCTAGTCCCTGAGGTCAAAACAAAACTCATTTTGTTGTCCAATCTTACTTTACCATCATACCACCACCTCAAACAATATCCCAAAATAAGGTAAGAACATTCCAAATACACTATTAAGAATGTCAAAAATGAGCCCATGCTCGAGCGGAGGGTAAAAAAGAAAATTTCAAGCCGATACAATAAAGGTCGCCATAACTCAGCAGATAATTTTTTAATTCCGATAGATATAGTTGAATTAAAACACATTAACCCCTAATTAAATAAGGATGACTTTCTATACGCATTTTGGGGTCATTACACACCTAGTCCATTTCTTCCTGCAATCCTTTCTGGAAAATATAATACTTCACCCTTTCAGTGTCTTTAATTTGTTTAAAAGAAATTCATGTAATTCTGCAAACAGAAGAAATTTGTAAATTTTTTATATTAAAGAACGAATAGAACTATAAATCTTTTTAGATATATATATATATATTTTTTGAACTGGGAAAAAAAATGATCTATGAGATATTATAGCATTTGTGGGTTCTGACTTTGAAGTAATCAGTTGCTAATCAGATTTAATTCAATCTATGGAAGGAACTTATTACTGGGCAAATGGGAAATTCACTTAACTCCCAGCATAAGAGGTAAAGTCACAGTTGAAATACAATACAGTCAATTCTAACTAATTAAGAGAAAAGTTTTAACTAATCAAGAGAAAAGCTAATGGTGTCGTTAGAAGTCGAGTAATGCCTCCACAACCTTATGAGTCGAGCCATGCTCACTTATGTAAAAAAAGGTATCTTTCCACGTTGTCACAATTAAAGTACAGTGCGGTTAGTTTTAACCAATTAAGGAAAATGCGAGTCTTGTTTAGGTAACAATACATATGATGGACGAACCTTTTAGATATGGGGCGAATTGTAGTTAGTGTCCAGAGTATGTGTTTAAATTCTTGCCTGTGTGTGAGTCTGTGACTTACCACTATATGATTGAGTGGCCTTACTATGTAGCAACTAGCTAAGAAAACTTCTGGGGTTTTGGCTCCTTATCTGGTTTAATTTCAAAGGTTATCCCCATGTGGTCACCAAAAATTCATAAAAAAAAAAGAAGCATAGTTATATACAGAAAAATATCAATATTTATTAATAATCTTCAAAGATTTTGCATTGGTTTGGTATAATGGGTTGGGGTGAGTTGGGGCTAAAATAGTCACAAAAATATAAAATAGGTTTTGTAATCCGATGAGACAAAATATTACATCTAAATGATAATCATATTATTTTTTCTTTTATCAAAGTCAAAAAATCCATCTTAAATGATATTTTTTAACCTTAGACTAAAATAACTAAAAAGTTAAGAAGTTAACTCACATCCCAAATGAATCCTTTCATTATTAGCATTTAGCAGGATCAATTTGAAACAGCAGGTTGATTTTTCTGTTCAATTTTATTCTAAGAGAAGGTGGAAAAAAGGGGAAGAAAATAACTCTGATTTTTTTGTTTTGTTTTTATTTTTGTTTTTGTCTTTTTCCCCATCATTGGTGGCCCCGCCTGAATTCATGTCCAATCCAATGAGGCCACCTTGTTTTTCGTATTCAAATTTAACTTCTTATTAATTAATGAATGTATTTTTCTTTTATTCAAATCTAATAGTTAAGATTAATCCCTCAATTTTTTTATATTGTAGAAAAATTCCATTGCGGTTCTTCTGGAATCCTAGATTCTTATCATATTTATCAAAAAGGAGGTTAAATCTCCTTTTTCAAATTTCTTTATTTCACAATTAATTTCAAATCACCCTAGGTAATGTTATGACAGTACATAACATTCCATCCCCACAATATTATATTTCTCACCAGACAGATGACCACGAAATGCCGAAAAATTTATTAAAATCCCCCTAGAACATTAGCCGGATCAATTATTGCAATTTTAGAAGCAAAGGAAAAGGTTTATTTCAAGCAACCCTGCACCATCTATGGCTTCTTCAAGCCCCATATCCCTTAAGTTTTTTGACTATGATAACTTTAAAGCAAAAGTTAGATAAAAATTAAAGGAAAAATATCCCTCAATATGAAAGAAAGATTTTGAACAAAAATATAAAAAGGCCATTAAAATGAAATATGCTCTAGATGGCATAATCAAAAACTGTTTCTAATTTCGATGATGAAATCTTGGGGATAATTCCCCCAATTTCCATTCCAAATTGGATACTACCAACATCTCCAACCAATTACCTTACACAAAATCTTGATGAGGATCTTAATGAAAATTATTTAGATAATTGTCAAGGAATTGATTTTAATAATTTGTGACCATATGTCTAAAGCCGGCAAAGATTTTTGCAAAAGTGAAGTCTACAAAGATTCTAGCAAAAGTAAGAGTCTGCAAAAGAAATGTCAATAATGCTCAGATAACCCATGTGATTCCATTAACAAAGCAGATACCCTACACATGATAAGTCAGAAACCTCATCTCTTCGGACTTCAAACCAATTCAAATCCACAACTTCTCTTCTATTTAAGGAGCAATTCAAGAGCAAGGAGGGCATTCGGGAAAAAATTATTACAAGATATTGTATTTTTCTTTAGTGTTATTGTGAGTATGTGAATTTGAGTCTCTAAGCATAGTGTCCACCGCAAGAAGGGCAGTGCATGTTTTGCCCAGTGTGCTTGGAAATGTCTAACCCTTTGTAAGTATTCTATGTATTGTAACTTTTATTATTATTAATATAAGTGTGGTTGTATTATGCTATTTATTTTTGAAATTCAAATTCAAATTAATGATAGTATACAACATATCTCTGACCTTGAAAATGATTTGCATATATAGATTAAATTCTTTACTAGAAATTGCATCTGGACAATCTATTATTAATTATAATCAAAGAATTGCCCATATCAAACTAAGAACAAATTACAATTAATAGATTACGGAAGTTAATGCAAGGTTTAGTTCTAATATAACTCCGATTGTTCTTGCTTCTATCACAAAGATTGTATAACCTGGGATGAATTCATCTCCTATCCAATGAGGCCACCTTGTTTTTTTATTCAAATTTAATTTATTATTACTTAATGATTGTATTTTTCTTTTATTCAAATCTAATAGTTGAAATTAATTCTTCAGAAATTTTTTTATACTGTAGAAAAATCCCATTTGTCAAAGATGAACAATCCTTTCATGAGACCAGCAACCACCCAATTGGAAGAGAGTAAATAAACATCAATTGGCTGCTGCTGCTGTGGAAGAGAGAAAACACCAAAGATGGACATGCTGATGGCACCCCTCTTTTGGCTGATCCAAAACCCAATTGACAACCTCATTAGATTGTATGGACTGTAGACAAAAGGCCTTCAATGCTCTTATTACAACCAACAACCTCAGAAAAAGAATTGGAACTAGAAAGCTCTATGATTAAGCCCTTTTGGAAGCCGTCCTAATTGCGGTCTTGCACTGGGCTTCAATGACTTTGGGCCCAATGAAACTTAAAAGATACTAAGCACACTTCTAGGGGGATCAAGAAGATCGTAGAACCTCATAGAATTCTCCATATCCTTCCCCTCTTTATATTCTGATCCCCAGGTGACAGTTACTAGAAGACGTGTTGTCTTCCAAGCTTCTTCTATTTATACTCTGCCCTTTCCCCTCCATTGCATCTTCGAAAAATCGTTCAAATCTTTTATAAACCTCTCAAATTACATCGCACTCCCAATCTGTCATTTTAAACTCTTCAGTGTAGATTCAAAAAATGGCGATGATTCCAAGCATCTTCGGAGTTCGACGAAGCAACATCTTCGATCCATTCTCTCTCGACATCTGGGACCCCTTCAGCAGCGTTCTAGCCGATGCCCCGACCTCCGCAGCACGAGAAACATCTGCAATTGCGAACACTCGTATCGATTGGAAGGAGACTCCAGAGGCTCACATCTTCAAGGTCGATCTTCCTGGGTTGAAGAAGGAAGAAGTGAAGGTGGAAGTTGAAGAAGGTACAGTTTTGCAGATCAGCGGGGAGAGAAGCAGAGAGCATGAGGAGAAGAACGAGAAATGGCACCGCGTCGAGCGGAGCAGCGGCAAGTTCCTCCGCAGGTTCAGGCTGCCAGAGAATGTGAAGACGGATCATGTGAAGGCTAATATGGAGGACGGTGTGCTGACTGTGATGGTGCCTAAGGAAGAAGAGAAGAAGCCTGAGGTTAAGTCTATTGAGATATCTGGTTGAACTGAATTGCTTGCACTGTTAGTTTTGGATTGTAGTGTTTTTAGTGTTTGGGTGTTTGAATTATGATAAATGAATGTTTTGAGTGTTTGATTGTAATGGAGGATATGTTTTGCTATGCAGTATCCTCTAGAGGTACTCGTAGTGGCTGTTTGTGTAGTGTGTTTTAACTTGTGTATATGTTGTTGTCTGAAATAATATTCTAGTAATTTAATAATCTTGTTTTAAATTTCAATTGTATAGTTTTCTTTAGGGTTGGGCATAGGATCATTCGATCCGCCCAAACCGTTTAACCCGATTCGAATTATGTATGTATGGGCGGTTTTGCAAACACATTAGGGTAGGGTGTAGTTTGAATTTTATCTAATTTTCGAGTTGCGGGTGGATTGCAGATTTGACTTGCACTCGTCCAACCTGCTCGCATAAATAAGAGAAGGAACATTAATTCATTTTACTAAGACCACATATATTAGTATATGAAACACAGGACAAGCATACAAAAAAAAAAAAAAAAAAAAATCCTAATCAAACTCACTCACTCTATCTTCTCTGAAAGGTGGATTGGATGATTCATAATGAAGTTTGATATCTTAGAAATATTTTTATTTTATTTCATGGGTTTGAATTGAATGAAATTTGGCAATAAAATTTTTTTTTTTAATTGCATTTTGATTTTGGATGAATGTAAGTTAATGAATTTTTATTTATTTATTTTTTGTATTTGGGTTAAGAATGATGAATGTAAGATTTTTTAATTTGAATTAGGAATGATGAATGTAGGATGAATGTAGATTTTGAATGATTTGTTAAGGTTATGAATTGAGATGAATGCAAGTTAATGATGAAGGTAGATTTTGAATGATTTGTTTAGGTTATGAATTGATTTTGTTGTATTTTTTATTTTATAAGTTTTTTATAAGTTTTAATTTATTAATTATTAATGTTAGAGCATTTTAGAAAATGGGAGAAAAAAGGTCTAAAAGAAATATTGATAAAAAATGAAAAAAAAGGGTTTAAAAAAAAAAATTTGAAAAAAAATTCAATCCGCAAACCGTCCGCAACTGCCTGCGCAACCGCGAACCCTATCCGCACAAATTGCAAATTTTTTTTTTTTCAGTTGCGGGCTGACTTTTTCTCAAACCACATACATGCGGACGGGTCCAAACCGAATCACATCAAAAAAAAAAAAAAAAAAAAATCCTAATCAAACTCACTCACTCTATCTTCTCTGAAAGGTGGATTGGATGATTCATAATGAAGTTTGATATCTTAGAAATATTTTTATTTTATTTCATGGGTTTGAATTGAATGAAATTTGGCAATAAAATTTTTTTTTTTAATTGCATTTTGATTTTGGATGAATGTAAGTTAATGAATTTTTATTTATTTATTTTTTGTATTTGGGTTAAGAATGATGAATGTAAGATTTTTTAATTTGAATTAGGAATGATGAATGTAGGATGAATGTAGATTTTGAATGATTTGTTAAGGTTATGAATTGAGATGAATGCAAGTTAATGATGAAGGTAGATTTTGAATGATTTGTTTAGGTTATGAATTGATTTTGTTGTATTTTTTATTTTATAAGTTTTTTATAAGTTTTAATTTATTAATTATTAATGTTAGAGCATTTTAGAAAATGGGAGAAAAAAGGTCTAAAAGAAATATTGATAAAAAATGAAAAAAAAGGGTTTAAAAAAAAAAATTTGAAAAAAAATTCAATCCGCAAACCGTCCGCAACTGCCTGCGCAACCGCGAACCCTATCCGCACAAATTGCAAATCGCATTGCGGGCAGTTGCGGGCTGACTTTTTCTCAAACCACATACATGCGGACGGGTCCAAACCGAATCACAAATCGTCCCAAACCGAACCGCGAACGCCCCTAATTCTCTTGCCTCATCATGTTTAACGACGGACTAACTAGCCCAGGTCAACTTAATTATTTTGATCAAGATTACAGATGATGACTAAAAATGTGTAAATGTGCAAGTGATTGAAAAAAAATTCCACATATAGGTAGGGAGGTAGATCAGTTCATAATTTAGACTATGGAGAGCCCGTTTGGATCGGCTATTGAATTATTAGGTGATGATTTGAATAGTTTTATTGGGCATTTGTTTATTTTATTAAATAAAAAATTAATTTTATTTACTAATCATAATTTATTTAATTTTTTATAAGATAAATTATTTACTTTTATAAATAAATAAATAAGATAAATTGATTGTGTTATAATTATTGAATCTCAAATCGATTTGCATGAAAAAAATATAAATAATTCAAATTTCTATAGTAAATTCGTAACTAATTCAAATTTTCACGGTGAATTTTGGACTTCGCATAATAGCGTCTTCCAATTTTGATAGTGAACTCATGACCTAGCATAATAATATCTCCAATTTTGAGTCTAATTTTGAAATTATGAATTAAATTTGAAATTATATAATTATAAATTGAATTTGAAATCATGAATCGGAGAAATCCTTCTCCTGGAGTAGCTATGCTATGTACCTACAGACAAAAATAGCGATTCCTTTTTCAGAGCTGTTGGAAAGCCCTAATTAGAGCACCAGCCGTACAGCTCTAATGAATTGTTATGAATTAAAAAAAAAAAAAAATAGTGTAGTAGAAGACAAAAAAAAGAGGGAGAAAATGACAAATTAGAGCTCTTTTAGAGCTTCTTTTTTAGAGGTATGAATCATTTTTCATTCCTTTTTTTTCTCATTTAAAGCATCACTTGGAAGTGGAGATTATTGAAAAACACGCAATAGGCTCGACTAACAGGGTCAATTTAACCTAAGGGATTGTGGCATTGTAGTAAGGCTTTGGGATTTAAGCTTTAAGATCATAAGTTTAATTTTTCTTTTGGACCAATTTCTTGGGCGAAGCACTGTTGGTTAGGAGGTTGGACCTTAAGGATGCCGAATCAGCTACTTGGTGTGGGTTTAATGCTCCCCCGCTGTGCGAGTCCTGACTTAATCGAAACTTGTCTTGGGAGGTCGGGACAAGCTTCCTTGGAGAAATCCTTCTCCTGGTCTAGCTATGTTATGTACCTACAGACAAAAATAGCGATTCTTTTTTTTCTCATTTAAAGCATCACTTGGAAGTGGAGATTATTGAAAAACACGCAATAGGCTCGACTAACAGGGTCAGTTTTATCCCATTTTTATAAATTAATAATTTATTTGACTTTGTAGTGTTTTGAGAAGTTGATAAAAAGTTAATTTTTTGATATTTTGATTTTTTTAGTGATTTTTTTAGGCAAAAAATTAGTGTTTTTTGGACTAAAAAAATTGACTTTTTTGACTTAAAAAAATTTAAAAAATTAAAAAATTGACTTTTTTAATTTATTGCCAAAATGAGTGTTAATAATGTGGGCTATCACCGCCAAGAGTCAGTGGGTCATGGCAGAGTAATAAAGGCATAAGACATGAAATGGATAAAAACTCAAGTGATTTTTAACAAAAAAAAAATTTATATAAAGTTATTAATAGCAATGATATGACAGTATATTTGAAAAATTGTAAATTATTTTAAATAAAAAATTTTATTTAAAATAAATAGATACTAAATTTGTAATTTTTTATTTATTTATATATTATTACTCAAAAAATATTTATAAAAACATGAATTGTAATTTTTTTGGCAGAAAAAATACAGCAAAGTTGCACTTCAATAAAAAGTTTCATTTTTTTATAAATATTTTTTGAACTTTTTACTTATTAATATTTTTCGCTTTACTAACTTCAGCATTAGAGGATGTTCGGCTGGCATGACATGGATATCCATCGAAGACTTGCCAATTTGGATCGATTTTCGTAATTGGTCTTTCCTGCCTAATCAATGGGCCTGAATTTCATCCCATAGCCCTTGTATTCACATAATATATTGTCGTAATTGGGACCATTGGTCTTTCCTGCCTAATCAATGGGCCTGAATTTCATTTCCTAGCAGATGGATTCACATAATATACCACGAGAAGATTTTATGAGAAGTTATTTGATAGTCTAAAGGTATGATCACGTAGTATCTTAAGTGAGGTGTGATTGGTAGAGGGGGGTGTGGAATATGATTTTGTGATAGGTAATTAAGTAACATGAGAGGGTATGAGGGGATATAGTGGTTTGTGATTGGTTAGAGATATAACCACGTGGTACCATTAGACCAATTAATATATTTTTCACAAAAAGAGACTTATAATATATATGTTCTCAATCATAAAATTATATATAATTTTTATTTATTTAAATAGATATGAGATTTATAAAAAGATAAAATTTAATTTTGTCATCAATTTCTATTCAAATGTATATTTTCTATAATTATATGATAAAAGAAGCAAGCAATGAGGCATACCAACCTTGGCATTGGATCGGGAAGAGAAATGCCTTTGTCTATATGTGAGAATTTGTCAAATGACGAACAATACTTTCGTTGGGAGAGATGTTGATGTTCCAAGATTTGACCAAAAAAAAAAAAAAAAATGAATAATATTTATTAAGAGTGATGTTATTTTGGCCAAGTTTGGCATCTTCAAAAAAAGTTAAAAAGTTAAAAAATCACTATTCTATTTAAGTCACATCATCTTATTTAAGTCACATCACTTCTTTACTACATCACTTCAAACTCAACCCATATTTTATAAAAAGTCAAAAAGTACACTTATTTAGAACATCCCAAACAACCCCTACTCAATAATTAGATTTTTTTTTTTAAAGTGTGATAGAATATTTAAGGTAACTGTTTATATATATTTTTAATCATTAATTAATTATTTTATTTACACATTATTAAATAAAAAAAGTAAATTTAAAAAATAAAGGAAAAATTATTTATAAGTCCTACTAGGGAGACTTATTTAATATAAAGTCCTGTGCAATTTCTTATAGAGTTTCAAATCCTATTTAGATTAGAAAGTGTTCCACAAGATCCTATAAATTGTGATTAAATGGTATTAGTGTACTATTATACCCTTTATATATGTTTCCATATTATAAGTTATTCACCCTATTAAGGTTTGGAGACTTTTAGGAAAGTTTATTGTGTAGGCTTCGTCTGTTGCCGTGAATTGCGCCATGATCGCGAAGGTTGGTGGATTTTGAAAATGTTACTAGTTTGGATGGTTTTGTTGTTTGGTCTTGCCGATTTGGACTCAAAGTGTTTGAGGGAAGGTGATAAAGTTGTTTGCTTCTTTAATTGGTGAGTATTGCTGTGTGTTTGCCGATTGTTTTGTT